TATTTACAGTAGCCGAGAGTCCCATAGGCACTCAGCTGCGGACCAGGCCCTCTGATTGGTGCGGGCTAGGATCCGCTTGGCCATTGTTCTCCAGGAACGAAGCTTTGGGCTTGTGCTTGACCGCATGGCCCAACGGTCGCGCACGTGGTAATGGCGGAGTACATTACACCCCTCCCCCCATAGTCCAGACTACCCACACACAAAGTCCTGAAGGTAAGCTGGGGCCTTCCTGGTCCTTGTGGAACGCCGGAATTCTGGGGTGATGTTCGGGATTGCTACGGAGGCCCGTGGCGGGGAGGTTGGTTGTGGTGCTTCCGAGGGCGGCAGCGCAGGGGCTTCCAGGTTGACCTGGGCTGGCACGGGTGCTGGGGCCGGCGGCTCTGGCATGTGGACCGTCGCGTCGTCTGGTTCCGCGAACTCCAGGTCCTCGGGATCGTTCGGGAGAACCTGGCATCGCAGTTGGTCGATGTGCCAGTGGAGCAGCTGGCCGTCCTCACAGGAGACCTCGTAGGATCGAGGTCCTCGCACCCGGATGACTCAAGCGGGGATCCAGGGTGGCCCTTGCGCGTAGTTCCGGACGTAGACGGGGTCTTCCGGGAAAAAACCCCTGGCGGCTGCGTGCGACTCCGTTCTCGGTTCTTCCTCGGGGGCCCGGTCCGGGTGTAGTCGGTCCAGCCTCGAGGTCAGGCGGCGACCCATCAGGAGCTCCGCCGAACTGCGCCCAGTCTCTGTGTGAGGGGTCGTCCGCTGACCGAACAGGAACACTGCCAACTTGTAGTCCCAGTCCTTGCTGTCGAACCTGTGCAATGCTTCTTTGGTGGTACGCACCATGCGCTCCGCCTGACCGTTGGTCACGGGGTGGAAGGGCGCTGACCGGATGTGGCGGATCCCACAGTACCTCATGAAGTCTTCGAACTCGCTGGAGGTAAAAGCCGTTCCGTTTTCCGTCACCAGGGTATCCGGAAGACCTTGGGAGCTGAAAATGTGTCTCATTGCTCTGATGGCCGCCTTGGAGGAGGTTGACGGCACGGGCACCACTTCCAGCCATTTGCTGTAAGCGTCGACTAAGATAAAAAAGATTTGCCCCTGGAATGGTCCCGCAAAGTCCAAGTGTAGCCGGGACCAGGGTTTGTGGGAGGACTCCCAGGCCCGCTCTGGTGCTTGGGGCGGTGCCGGCCGGGAGGCCTGGCAGGGTTGACATTGCTTCACCTGTCCCTCAATGTCCTGGTCGAGGCCTGGCCACTACACATAACTTCGGGCCAGGGCTTTCATCCGCACCACTCCTGGGTGGGCCTCGTGCAATGCTGCCAGCACCCGATTTCGGAGAGGGGGGGGATCACCACCCGACCTCCCCACATCACACAACCCTTGTGTGCGGACAGTTCATCTTTCTGGGAGGCATAGGCCGAGAATTCTGGCCCAGCCGAGACCACCGGCCACCCCCTTCTCACCCAGTCCAGGACGCGGCAGAGGATCGGGTCCCGGGCGGTGCGACGGCCCACCTCACGCATGTGGACCGGTTGGTCGGGCAGGGTCTCCAGCAGCGCGATCTGGTGGGCAGGGGCTGGGTCAGGCTCCGTAACAGGCAAAGGTAGGCGGCTCAAAGCATCTGCGTGCCCCATCGCTTTCCCGGGACGGTGAAGGAGCGCATAGTTGTAGCCCGCCAGGAAGACGGACCACCTGATCACCCATGGCGAGGTCATCTGAGGGGTCTGGCGGTCCGGGGCGAGTAACCCTAGGAGTGGCTTGTGGTCCGTTAAGACCGTGAAGGGCCGGCCGTAAAGGTAGTGGTGAAATTTTTTCACCCCGGCCACTATCGCAAGCGCCTCCTTATCAATTTGTGCATAATTGCGCTCAGCTGCCGTCAAGGTGAGCCACTGGGACCTCCCGGCCGTCCGGCAGCTTGTGCCCCAGGACCGCCCCGACCCCATACGGTGAAGCATCGCAGGCCAGGACCACTGGTAGCTCTTCATTAAAATGGGCGAGGACCGAGTTGGAGATGAGGAGTTCCTTCACCGCCCGGAATGCCCCGGCCTGTGCCGGTCCCCAAACCCACGGTGCGCCCTTGTCGAGAAGCCTGTGGAGGGGCTCCGCTACCGCTGCTTTATTTATTATTTTTTTTATTGAATTTCAAATGTTTTACATAACATAAACAGTGTTTTATAATGACATATACATACCACATAAAGTGTTTTGTTATAAGAGATTAAGCATCATTACACACTAATTAGATGGTACATACAAATGACGTTTTTAAGTAAAAGTATATAGTAAATATAACAAGTTCTAACAATAAACCATAAAATAAACAATTAATTATTTTTTTTAAAACCCTCAGTCATACTAAATAAAGAGATATAAAAAATAAATAAAAATCAAGTACAGTGACACAGCGTCCATGGGGATTTAACCTTAAAAGACTGCTATTATTTCTTTATATTGTGTTGGTACCATTGATAGCATAGATGATGAGTTCGAGAGTGAGAACTCTATAAAATTAACCCATTTCGCATAAAATAATGTGTGTCTGTTAATAGATATATCAGATCTTGTGGATAGGTTTATTTTTTCTAGTGTATAGTGTTCCCAAATTTTCATGTACCACTGATGCAAGGTAAGTGGATTTTTGCTTTTCCAATTATTTGCAATAACAGTTTTAGCCGCTGATATTAAGGTCGAGATCAACTCTTTCCTTATTTCCGGTATGGATTTGTCCTGCCAGAGGTCAAGCAGGAATAGTTCGGGATCAAGAGGTAAGTCAATGTGCGTTATTGTTTGGATTGCGGTTTGAATTGTTGACCAAAATTGACTTATTTTCTTGCAGGACCACCAGCAATGTATGTAGTCGGCTTGTTCCCCGCATTCTTTCCAACATAATGGTGAGTAATTTTTGTTTATGCAATGTAATTTAAGCGGGGTGTAGTACCATCTCATCATTACCTTGATAGCTTGTGTTTTGATATTTAAGGATGAGGATGTTAAACTGGGTGCTGACCATATTTCGTTCCAAACGTCGTCTTGCAATGGGATATCTAAATCTTTGTTCCATGTTGTTTGGTAAGTAGTTGGCCTTTTAAAAATGAAAGTTAATAGTTCTTTGTATATGTTTGAGATCAATCCTTTGCAGGAGTTATGGTTATTAGTTAAAATATTTTCAAAAAATGTTAGGCCCCTGTGTTCTTTTAGTTTGGAAAAATGAGTATGCCATAGGTGGCGAATTTGTTGGTATTCAAACCAGTTAAGCTGGCAATTGTAGTCTCGTTCTATATCACTTTTATCCATTAGTTTGAAGTTTTTGCTGATTTTCTGAAATGTCGTTATGTTTTGTGTTTTCCAGGTCTGGAATGCGACGGCAGTTTGTCCTGGTTTAAACCATGACTGATTTAGGAAGTGAGTTAATACTGATGGTTGAGGAGCTAAGTTTGGCTTCCACTTGTCCCATGTTTTGAGAGAATTGTTTAAAAATATGTTGTCTTTTATTGTTGGTGTTCTGTGTTTGGGAATTTCCCAGCTACATTCCCGGAATGATTGTTGTCCTAGGTAAACATCTTCGAGTATTTTCCAGTCCGCTTTATAATGTTGACTGTAATGTTTAATGAATCCTATCAAGTTTGTTGTTTCGTAGTATGCAGCCAAGTCAGGGAGCGAAAGCCCTCCTTGATGAGGTAATCGTCGTAGAGTTTCTGAGCGTATTCTATGTGCTGCTTTATTCCAGATATATCGGGAAAACAACTTCTGCCATTGTTTAAGAAGTTTAGGTGGTATCAATATCGGGATAGCTCTAAATAAATATAAAAATTGCGGAAATATAAATGTTTTTAGGATTTGTATTTTCTCAATCCACGTGGTAAGCGAAGATGATACCGCTTGTGGTAAATCACCGAGTTTCTTGGCCACTAAGGAGTGGTTATGTTGTATTATTTCCGATAAATTGATTGGAATGTGGATACCTAGATATTTCCATGGTTGTGTTGTCCAGCTAAATTTGTATTTTTGCTCTATATGGTGTCTTGTTTTTCCTTCTAGAGTGATTGGGAATAATACTGATTTTGAGCTGTTCACTGTGAGACCAGAAACAGTTCCGAATTTGTTCAGGGTGTCAAGAATTTCAGCTAAAGATGATTCCGGTTGTGATGTGATTATTGCCATATCATCCGCGAATAGACTCAGCTTTATTTCTCTGTCTTTGACAAGTATTCCAGGTATTTTGTGATTCATTCTGATGGTGTTAGCAAGCGGTTCAATCGCTATAGCGAAGAGTAAAGGGGATATAGGACACCCTTGACGTGTTCCTCTAGAAAGTGTGAATCCTTTAGATGTTATACCGTTAGTTTGAATTTTGGCTGTAGGGCTTGCATATATGGTTGCTATCATATTTAAAAACTTAGTTCCAAAGTTCATGTGAGCCAGTAAAGTTTGAAGATATGTGGTTTCCACTCTGTCAAAGGCCTTCTCAAAATCCAGCGAAAGTATGAATGAGGAATCAACTTGAAATTTTTTACAATATTATATTATGTTTATGATCTTCCTGGTGTTGTCAATTATTTCTCTGTTCGGTGTGAATCCTGTCTGGTCTGTATGTATGTATTGTTCGATGATCTTATTGAGACGGTGAGCCATTGTTGCCGTAAAAATTTTGTAATCTTGATTAAGGAGTGATATTGGCCTGTAGGAACTAGTTAATGTTCTGTCTCTGTCCGATTTAGGAATCAATATGATATTTGCTGAGGTCCATGATGGGGGCATGATTCCCTGAGTTAAAACTTGGTTGCATGTTTCAGTTAGGGGCTCTACTAAGAGGGGACTAAATTTTTTGTAGAATTCTGCCGCGAATCCATCGTCCCCTGGTGATTTGTTGTTTTAAGTTTTTTGATCGTTTCTTGTATTTCTTTTTGTGTAATCGGGTCTTCAAGCCATTCTTTATGTTGTGTTGTGAGTTTAGAGTGAATAGGGAATTGTTGTAAAAATGTGTCCATTGATGTTACAGTTGGGGAATCCGATTTATACAGTTTAGAGTAATAATGAAAAAAGGCTTCGGAAATTTCTTTAGGAGAGTAGACTGTGCGACCATTCTTATCTTTAATTGCAAATATTGCGTTGTCCGTAAGCCTTTTTTTATATTTCCATGCTAATAGTTTAATGGATTGCGGTGATTTAAACCAGTATTTTTGCTTTGTATAAGCAATTTGTTTTTGAATCTGAGTTGTTTCGATAGATTCTAGTTTTTTCCGTTCTAGGAGGAGTGATTTATATGTTCGTTTGCTTCCATGCTTACTAAATTCGAGTTCTAGAGCTTTGATTTTGTTGATTAGTTCCTGTTTTAATTTCTGTTTTTCTTTTTTATAGGAAGAAGTAATTGCTATTATTTTACCTCGGATTACGGCCTTCATTGAGTCCCAAACAATATGCTGAGAAACTCCGCATTTTGCATTAAAATGAAAATAATCCTTAATTTCTTTTTCTATATTGTCTGATATAGATTGTAAAAATAAAATTCTTGGGTCCAGTCTCCAATTGTACTGTCTTTTTTCTTCCGTCCCAATTTCCATTTTGGCTTCCACCCAAGAGTGATCAGACCATACGCGTACTCCAATTGACGCCTCCAGAAATAGGTGTGAGATAGCGGATGAAGCCAGTATATAATCAATTCTGGAGTGTGACTGGTATCTGGGAGAGAAATACGTATAGTCCTTTGTTGTATGATTTTTATCTCTCCAGATATCAATTAAATTAAAGTGTTGCAAGATTTTATGTAATTCCGTGTGGCCTGAAGAAACATCTTGAGAATATTGTTTGATGTGTCGTTTTGGGGTGCTAGATTTATCTAAGATGTGGTTCGAGATAAAATCTAAATCACCTCCTATTACCATCGGGTCCGTACTAAAAATTGTTAGTTTAAGGAGGGTGTCTCTAATATATGTAACTTGATTTTCATTTGGCACATATAAGGAGACTAAAGTTAATGATTGGCCATTTAAGTTTCCATTAAGAAATAAATATCTGCCATCTGGGTCTTGTTCCATTTTATTGAGTTGAAATCTTAGTGATTTATGTATGAGAATGGCCACTCCCCTGGATTTGGATGTGCCTTGAGCTTGATATTGTTTTGAAAATTTTAAAGTGTTAAATACGTTTTCTTGTTTGCCTTTGAGATGTGTTTCCTGTAAAAATACGAGTGTTGCTTTTTGTCTTAATAATTCAGTAAGCACTCCCTTTTTTTTGATGGGTGAGTTAAGGCCTCTGCAGTTCAAAGTGAGGTATCTAATCTGTTGCTTTGGAATCATTTTGGTATTTTGAGGTGTTCATCATTAGGTTCTCCATCTTCCAGATGCTTGGTAAGATTAAGCTAATAATAGTGTTCAGTATCCTAAATAGGTTTTTTAGGTTTGAAATTGTGAAAAGAACTGTGTCACCGTACTTGAAAAACAATAAAAACATCCAACTATAAACAAAGGCAACCATCATTATAAAACAATCCCGGAATCAACTTAATGATTCCTACTCCCCTTCTCCTCAGGGTGGTCTTACAAAAAAAACCCTGAGGACAAAATTTCTGCTCCTTTGTCCTTTTCCCCTTGTTAATAAACTTAAAGTGTTGTTAAAATATTAGTTAACATACTTAAATCTTTTTGCTAGCATCTGATCTTCCAGTTATTTGTTTGGTCAGAATGTTCTATAAACTTAGAGTATGAGTGCTATAAAGCAGGGTCTCTAAGGTGCTATATATTGCTAGTCTCCTGAAGCTATAGCTCAGCAATCATATTTTGTGATGTTATATAGCCTTCTCATTTGTTACCACTAGATGGTGCCATCTACTAGTAATAGATTCTAGACCCAAGCCAACTGTTTCTTCAGGTCAAAATGCTTAGTCTCTGTAACACACAGTTAATGATTCTGTCATTATGCTTAAAAATTATTTAAAACGCAACTAAAAGTTTATAGGTTCTATTCATGATGTTTCAAAGATATTGGAAAAGTCAACCTTCAGTTCTTATTCTATAATGGCTAATGCTGCCAACAACATTTAGTTGAAAATGTTTTTCCAAAAACATTCCTCCTGAACAATAATATCAAATCTGGAGGTAAATAGGTCTAGTGAGATTGATAACCATAAAATATCAGAACAGGAATACAAACATATATATACACATTTCAATTTATACGCTATCAAAGGATTGCTCTTATAGAACTACAGTTTTTCATTGAGTTGAAATTAGACTTAATAATTTTTGCAACATATAAGTTTTCATGGCAAAAGTTATGATTTAAAAAGAAAATAACCTAGTAAACTCTTTTGTTTTTCATATAGCAAATTCTATTCATTTGCTGTGAACATAGAGCCCCTAGAATATAAAATGGTATAATTTCAATAAAAATAAAAATAAATAATAAGATTGGTTTTTGCCACCATTTCAATAATGTGTCATGTTTTAAGTTTTAAGGATCTGTAGTGCACAAATATCATTTATACTGTTTAACTAACGAGCCTCTCCTTTCCTAAAAAGTTAAGTACAATAAATCTTTGTTTTATACCATTTAAAACTATTCATATCATAAGTCATTTTACTTAACAAAGGCCCCGTTCATACGAGCCCATTTGGGCCGGGAGCGGGACGGAACGGGGGCGGAGCAAACGGGCGCGATCCCACCTCAACATCTGGGGAGCGTGCCGTCTCCGTCCCCGTTCCGTCCCGAATGGCGATACCGCGCAGTAAAAAACAACCACCTCTCTAGGTGGTTGCAAGCGTCTGGAGCGGCCCAAGCCGGGCCGTGGGATTGGCGGCGCGTCCTTGTGTCGGCGCATCCCCGGCCCCCAGTCAAACTGCGCATGCTCGAGCATGCGCAGTTCGGCAGCCTCCCCCTCCCACTCGTCTCTTCCTCCCCGGCATCTGATCGTGCCGCGCCGCCGCATCCCGGCCCCCGGCCGTACTGCACATGCTCGGGCATGCACAGTTCGGCCGCCTCCCCCTCCCATCGGGCGCGTCCTCCCCGGCGTCTGATCGTGCCGGGGAGAGGAGGCGCTGCGGCCAGGGGATCCGTGGGATCCCGGCCGCAGCGTCTCAACATTGGAGCGGCCCTATTTAGCCGCGCTTGCCTCGTGGTTTCCCTGCCGTGTGGCAGGGGCCAAAAATAAGAATTCGTAGTGAAACAAGTACTTCCCAAAGTGTGGTTAAAGTCATGGTATTCTGGGTCTTCTGGTCCTGCGTTCCCTGTTTGTCTTCCATCTTGAGCTGGATGATCTCGTGGAGATGGTTGATCTTCTTGCTGTAGATCTTGCAGTGGCTGAAGCTGAAGTGCTTGCAGCAGGTTTAGTCCTGTTTCGATGTCAGACGCTGTTAAAATTGTTCCTTGCGCGTTCACTTGGAGTTTGCAGTATGCAACCCACTTGTAGCTGATCTTAGCCTCTATGAGTGTTTGCACTATAGGTCTCAAGGCTTTTCTTCGTTGTAAAGTCTCCATTGAGAGGTCCGGGTAAATTTGTATGGTGTTGTCTTGAAGTTTTAATGGACCTTGGGATCTTGCACACAACAGAAGCTTAGATTTGGTATGCATGTTTAGGAGTTTGACGACCACGTCCCTTGGGTGGGAACCTTGTTGGGCTCTCCTTCCTCCCACTCTATAAGCATAGTCGATTATTGGCGCGCTTGCTTCAGCATTGCCCAGAATCTCATTTAACCACTTAGTGAGCAGTTCTTTAAGCTCAGACGGTTGGGCAATAGACTCTGGGATTCCGCGAAGTTTAACATTGTTTGCTTTTAGTTGGTTTTCGAGGGTTAAAATTTTAACTGTTGCCCATTCTTCTCTCTGGGTTAGATAGGTCGTATCCGTTTGCAGGGTTATACACGTGTCCATAGCTTCGTTAGCTGTGTTTGCCACTTGTTCTACATTTTTGTTCAGTTCGTTAATTTGTGCTGTAATGGGCTTCAACAATTCTGCCATAGTGGCTGTCACGTTTTTTTCAAGAGTTAAGATAGTCTCGTGAAATTCTTGCCTGAAAGCCTCGAGTCCGTCTGGGGCTCGTTCGTCATGTTCCGCCGCCATTTTAGAGTCTGCCACGGCGGGGGAGTTATCAGCTCCTACCGTTGCTTTGCGAGTGGAATGTCTCGGCGTCGAGGACTTTGTTGATTTATATTTGCTTCCTGCCGGTGTGAAGGTTCTTCCCATCTCTTAGTGATTGTTATTCAGTCAGAAGGTTGCTTTTAATTGCTGGTAAGGGGAAAAATCGTCGGGAGCAGTCTCTTTAGGCGTCCGTCGCCATTCGCTCCGACGCCACGCCCCCCTACTTCTGCTTTTAAGGGGAGAAAAGAATGATAAAAATTAAGTAAGCCTAGGAAGGCCTGAAGTTCCGTTTTTGATGTGGGGGCGGGAGCGTTGGAGATCGCCGCCGTTTTCTCCGCTGTAGGATGGATGCCCTGTGCGTCCACCGCAAAACCCAGGAACTCCACCTTGGGGACTCCCAGCAGGCACTTTTCCCTTTTCACCCTCAGTCCGGCCTGGTCGAAGCGTTGGAGAACGGCGCGGAGGCGGTCGGCGAAGGCGGCGGCATCGGGGGCGGCAATCAACACGTCATCTAGAAAGGGTTGGACTCCCGGAATACCTTTTAGGAGAGAGTCCATAAAAGATTGAAAAATCCCTGGGGCCACGGAAACCCCGAACTGGAGCCGGTGGACCTTGAAAGCCCCCCTATGTGTGGAAATAGTCTGGGTTTCCGCCGTGGCGGCGTCTACTGGTAACTGCTGGTAGGCTTGCGCCAGGTCCAGCTTGCCAAAGATGCGGGCCCCCGCAAGTGCAGCCAACACATGACTGACCACGGGTACGGGGGAGGCGTGGTCTTGCAGGGCCTTGTTCAGGGTGCACTTATAGTCCGCACAGATACGGACGTCCCCGTTCGGCTTTACTGGAGTGACAATGGGGGTCTCCCAACGGGCAGAAGCTACCGGCTCTAGTACTCCCTGGGCCACCAGTCGGTCCAGCTCCGCCTCGATCCTTGGCCTCATCGTCAGGGGCGGGTGCCTTGCCTTTATCCGGATGGGGCGGACTGCCGGATCCAGGTCCAGGGAGATTGGTGGCCCTGTGAACTTGCCAAGAGACCCATCGAACACCCGCGGGAACTCGTTGCACACGTCCATGAAGTCGACCTATCGCAACTGGTGGATGCCCCCGATGGTCAAGCCCAGCGGTTCAAACCAGGACATCCCCAGGAGGCTGGAAAGCCTCCCCCCCCCACACCAGTATGTCCAGGCACCCTTTGAAATCTTGGAACTCCACCATGAATTTGCCCCAGCCCCGCACAACCACTGGATTCGTATTGAAATCCTGCAATTTAAAGTGTGGTTTGCGCAGAGGAGGCCCCTCCTTGGGACACACCTTCTGCAGTGTCTCCTCCAAGATGATAGTAAACTCGGAGCCGGTATCTAACTCCATACTACAGGGGGACCCCTCTATCCGGACCGAAACATGGACTTTGTTCCGGCCCTTGCGGGTCAAGTCACCTA